TGGAGACAGAGGTGGCTTTCGAGGTGGCCGTGGAATGGACCGAGGTGGCTTTGGTGGAGGAAGAAGAGGTGGCCCAGGGGGTCCTCCTGGACCTTTGATGGAGCAGATGGGAGGAAGAAGAGGTGGACGTGGAGGACCTGGAAAAATGGATAAGTATGTGATGGGGGAGAACACAGCCCCTCCCAGCTTTGACTGAAGTGAATCCAAGTGGCACACATGCTGGAGAGAAGAGTAGTCCCAAAGCACCTGGAGCTCTAATAGGGCTCCGTCCCTTTTCATTCTAACCAAAGGGTCTCTTTGCCTTGCAGAGGCGAGCATCGTCAGGAACGCAGAGACCGGCCCTACTAGACACAGAGACCCCGAAGAGCTGCATTGACTACCAGATTTATTTTTTAAACCAGAAAATGTTTTAAATTTATAATTCCATATTTATAATGTTGGCCACAACATTATGATTATTCCTTGTCTGTACTTTAGTATTTTTCACCATTTGTGAAGCAACATTAAAACAAGTTAAATGGTAGTGTGCTGAGTTTTTTTTTTTTCCTTCTTTTAAAGATGGTTGTTTAAGACTTAACGATGGGAACCCCTGTGAGCATGCTCAGTATCATTGTGGAGAACCAAGAGGGCCTCTAACTGTAACAATGTTCATGGTTGTGATTTTTTTTTTTTTTTTAAATAAAATTCCAAATGTTTATAAACTGTCATCCTTCTCGGCCTCTGTTCCGGCATGCCCCTGTGGCTATCCAAGTAAACAGGTCATTTTGCAGGAACACCTGGAGCTGTTACTAAATGAAAAGGGCCAGCACATTGCTGGTCAGAGATACACAAGCTGGCCTGATAAACCCTCAGAAAAAGCCTGCTCCAGTATCCAGGCAGGAAGCACACAGGTGAGTTTTTTCCAGTCCTTGCTAGATTGGAGCTGGACTTGGTGCTGCTCTGAAGAGGTAGCCCAGCTGCCTAGTATTTACAGCTTAGGCACAACAAAACTCAAGTGACACAAGGCTTGGATGGGTCCTCTTCCCTCACCCCACCCTTCTGGAACCCACACAACCATCCTGTGCCTTCACAGAAATAGACCAGTCACCTTGTTCTCTACCGCCAGGTAAGTGGTCATTCCTAGTTCCTTTGCTGCTCTCTTCCTGGCTTTTAAATACAGGAGGGCTCCCCTACCTAGCTGATCTCCCAGCCTGTGATCTTAATTCACCTAACACCCTTCACCCAAGGGCTACCTCTGCTTCAGTCTGACAGGAAGTAAAGCTTGACTGATCTTACCCCATGCTGTCTCAGCAGACAAGCATCTGTCCCAAACAAGTATAGTTACCAGTAACAACTAAGAACCAAGCCTCAACAGAGTACATCTACTCTAGAAGGTCATATCCCAGACCACACTGTTGCCACATGGACCAAAGTCCAGGCCCCTCAGATTCTCTAGACCTCCCTGCTTTCCCCTCCACCTCACTTCCTTCAGAGGCCACTGCAGCTTCAGGACTCAAGTCACCAGGATTGTCAAAATTTCAGTGGCTCCTATGATGCTTGGGATAGTCCCCTAGGTCTCAGTGGCCTCAACTGTTGTCTCCATACCCTGCTTTGCCTTGCTTACTGCAGTCAAGTTTCATAAGCCAGTGCCCTTCACATACCTGTGAGGCCTAAACTCAGTCATCAACACCAGGTTCCTGCCACACAACCATGCCAAGTATCTTAACATTTCAGTTCCAAATACATGTTTCTCAGGTGAGGACATTAGAGGTTAAAGGATTTACCATCCAATCAGGTGTAGGGCACACCTGTAGTTTAAGCACTCAGGTGGATCATGAATTGGGGGGTCACAGTGAGACCCTGCCTCCAAATACTGAGGGCTAGAACACTTGTCTGGCATGTGCAAGGGTTTGGGCTCTATCACTGAGGACTCTGGAGAGAGTCCTCAGTTTCTGAAAGTTGTGTTCAATCAACAAACAGTAGGTAAGCAGCCCACCTCCCCAGCTTGGAGGACCTTTGTGTTATACTGAGCTGGGTTGCTGTCACTGGCACCAGTGGTGATCTAAACACCTCAGGCAGTGCACTTTCTGAGCCCATCACAAGGGGTCAGGCTAGGCTGGTGAGTGAGTGCCTCAGGAGAGAAAGGGTAAAACATGGCAAAATTCCTAGCATAGCCTTGTCTCACTAGTAGGCTAGCTACATAGCAGAGGTCTGGGGCAAAAGTGGTGTGATCAAGGTAGAAATTGATCTACACAATGTGGGCAGAGGCTTACCCTGCTTCTTGGTAACGGGCTCAGGCTGTGAGGTCAGGACAACACGGAGTCCGGGACAGCAGCTGACTCCCTTGTTAACACTGTCATGCCTAACTCGATGGACCTAGGGTGGGGGCAATGACACTGAAGAAGGGTCTTCTCAGCCTTCCACTTTTGCTGCTTTCTCTTGCAGGGCACAGGAAGCTGGTCAGGGTAACTAAAAACAGGAAACCTGGCCATGAGCCCATGGCAGGACCAGAAACATCTACTGGGGGAGCCACTGCCTCAGGCTCTTACCCTCTAGGCAGATGGGCTCATGCCATCCCAGAACCCAGCATTTTTGTCCCTCTAATGGTTTCTGTCATTTCCCTTGGATCTGAAGAAACCCAAGACCAGAGAGAGACCCTGGGCTACCACACAACAGATGATCAAGCCAAGGGTGCCCAGAGTTCTGGCCACACCAATGAGTTCTACATCACTGCTGCCATGTAGAGTCAGAATATTAGAGGCTGCAGTATGGGCCAAGACTCAGGTGACAGGCCCCACAGGGGATTGGAAGAGTAATAGAGCCCCATCCTCCAGGCCACAATGAATTGAGCTATTAGTATTCATTATAGACCTATGATGTAACAACTATTCCATTTTACAGATGAAGTCACTGAGGCTCAAGGAGCTTAACCATCCCAATAGAACCTGGATTCAGCCCTATCTCCAGGTCCAAGACCCTGAAACACAGCAAGGTCAAATTTCCTGCACACTACTGACTGCTTCAACCTTTCTGTACCTCAGTTTCTCCAGCTCAAAAGAAGTTTTTCCAGATCATAAGAACATATAAAAGTATAGTGGGGCTGTCAAGAGGGCTCAGCTGCTAAGGGTGCTTGCTGCCAAGCATGAAGAACTAAGTTCAATACCCAGAACCCACACAGTAGGAGAAAATGGACTTCTGACTTCTACACCCACACAAATGTAATAAAAAGTATCATAGTGTATAAGACTATTTAGAGCTCATCACTGTGTGTTCCAGGCCAGACCCTGTCTCAATTCCCTCATTTAGTATTTAGTCTCCATAGCCTGGTTCCCTCACCTTCAGTACCCTACTCCCGCTTGGGTAGTATTAGCAGCCCCTCCTTCCCAGTGCTTTAGCCCCAAACCTCAGCATCCTTCCTCATGCATTCTTACGCAGCCCACCAACACATCAGCTCTCAGAACACAGAATCCAGCACCCTCACACTCCTGCCTCCACCAGTGGCTTCCTGAGGTTATGCTCCTGTCCCTGCCCACCATAGCAGCTACAGGACCTTTATGACTAAGTCAGCCTCCCCTGCTCTGAATCCCTCCATAAAGGAACCTGTGATTCCAGCAGAGGGAGGGGGACAGGGCATTAAAGGCCAGCCCAAGCTACATGACAAGACTCTGTCTCAAAATAAATTAAAATTTAAAAATTAAGACCAGTTGTGCACCCCTTTAGTCCCAGCATTCAGGAGGCAGAGGCAAGTCTGTGATTTTGAGGCCACTCTGGTCTACATAGTTCCAGGCCAGTTGGGGCTACAAATGAAAACTTTAAAAAATAAACCCTTTCTGGCTTCCTTGTCCCTCACATGGTCTGCATGGTGTTCACCTTTCTCCCAGCCCCCTCCACTCCAGCCTCAGGAAACTCCACACTACACCACGAGGCACATGCCTTGTCCCTCACATGGTCTGCATGGTGTTCATCTTTCTCCCAGCCCCCTCCACTCCAGCCTCAGGAAACTACACACTACACCACCAGGGACATGCCCACCTCAGAACCTGGCTGCTCCCTCCGTGTGAAGAACTAGGTACCTCCGGCTTCCTCACTTCCTTCCCTGATCTAAGTTAAAATCAGAGTCTTTTCACACACCCACAGGCTCCAGACTCCTCCCGAGTACCTCATCTGGGGGCCTCAACCCAAGGGCTGCCTCCCTCAGAAGCAGCGAGCTGACTATTTGTGAGACTCAGCTCACAGTAGGTGCTCAACAAATGCCTCTGGTCCTTGAGAGTACTCTCCTGGCGGTCACCACCAACCCGCAGAGTTTGGGTCCTTCTCTCCAGGTTAGGGGCGCACACTGGGAGCTTTATGATTGCTCCGAGCATCCAGGTGGCTGGCCAGCAGCGTGGCTGCAGCGTGGAGGAACCGGCTTCTATGCCCAGCCCAAGCCTGCGGCTCCTGATCCTGAAAGTTCCTCCTCTGCCGCAGAGAAGAAGCGGCTCGGGGTTAAACCTGCCGCGCCCGGCGCCCCCTCCTTTTTGCGCTTGCGGGGGGCCTTGCAGCAGGCAGCCTTAGCCACCTGCCCATCTCTGAGCCTCAGTGTCCTCCGCCAGGCGAATCCCTTAACCTCAGGGTACAAACCGACGCAGAGCGCTGTCCCTGGGCCATTCTGGGAAGGAAGTCCGCCCTGGGGCAGGGCGCTTGGTTATCAGACCGGCCAAGGCCCACCGGGACAGGACGGAGGTGACTCTGCAGTCCCCAGCCTCTATCGCTTCCTGCCTCGGGAAAGGGCCGTGGCGCAGCCGGGCGGGAAAGCCACTGCCGCAGGGGGAGGACGGCGGAAAGGGTCTGAACCCCTCAGAAGACAAGGAGGGCGACCAGGCGAGAGCAGCACTGGCCTTAGGGCGCGTCCCTCGAGAGCGCAGAGGCCAGGGATTCCCCGCTCGGCTGGCGCCGCCCAGCGAGGACGCGGCCCCTTTAAGAGCGCGCAGCCCCGCCCGCCCCTCCAGGCCCGTTCCGAATTCCAGGGAGGCGGGGCGGAGACGACGGCGGCGCGTTGGCCCCGGCAGCAGCTCTGGGATCGGCAGGGGCTCGGGCGGCGCCTCTCTGCGGCGGCGCGGCCCGGCTCCGGCCCCGCCGGGGCGATGCTCCCCCGGGCTGCGGGATGAACCAGGTGAGCTCGGGGACCCCTGGGCCAGGGTGCACTAAACCGGGCCGGGCGGCCGCAGCGTGCCGGGCCTCAGTTCGCCAGGGCTGTGTGACCTTGGTGGGCCTCGCACCCTCTCTGGACCAGGCCGCGAGCACTGCGGAGGCTCTCTGAGGCTGTTCGGAATCCTGGCCTTGCTGGCGTCGACCCCGGAGCGCCGAGGAGGCTGCTCGGAGGAGGCGGGGCCTGGCTCGGCGAACCTAATTCCTGCACCCACTGCTCTGGGACCTTCCCTTTCTGCGCCTCAGTTTCCTCATCTGTAGAATGGAGATACTGGCCTGCGCCACCAGCAGTTGTAGCCGTTCTGGATGCTATTTCTGTATCCATGGGGTTTTTCCAATGGCATCATCCTTAGCTGAGGGGGTGAGGAGCGGGCAGGGGCCTTCTGCAGGCCATGGACGGTGGTCCTAGGAAAAGAATCTCCTGTCCCTGTCCCCCAGGGGCCCAGTCGGTTGTCTTCATGTTTGTAAGTGGCGGCTCTGCCCGGAGTGTACCAACCTGCCCCTCCACCACCTCCAAGTATCCATGGGGTTTTTCCAATGGCATCATCCTTAGCTGAGGGGGTGAGGAGCGGGCAGGGGCCTTCTGCAGGCCATGGACGGTGGTCCTAGGAAAAGAATCTCCTGTCCCTGTCCCCCAGGGGCCCAGTCGGTTGTCTTCATGTTTGTAAGTGGCGGCTCTGCCCGGAGTGTACCAACCTGCCCCTCCACCACCTCCAAGAAAGAGCCACATAGCAAACATGAACAGTAAAAAAAGTAACTAATACAGCAGGCATCTGGTTTACGGTAATAGAAGCATCATAAAGTCTCTTTCTTCTTCTTTGGACATGAGTAATGAAGGCTATAACCCACTCTGCCACTGTGGGAATTAACCCACAGAGAAGGGACTCAGACACAGGTCCTTGGCACTCTTGTGGCCCCTGAAATCAGCCAGGCATGCGGCCAGTCTGCCAGCTTATTGTACGGTATTCGAGATAATTATTTTCCTTCTTTGCTTAAGACAGAGGGGTGTGGCTTCCCATCACCTGGAGCAGGAACCTAAAAAGTGCAGATCTTGCACTTTAGAGTGTGATCCTTGCTAGGCATGGTGGCACACACCTTTAATCCCAGCACTTGAGAGGCAGAGGCAGGAAGATCTCTGTGAGGACGAGGCCAGGTTGGTCTACATAACTCCAGGCCAGTTAGGGCTAAAAGGAAACCATTTCAAAAAAACCGAAAAAAAAAAAAAAAAAAAGAGTGTAAATTTCATTGAATCCTTTGAAGCAGCTCATGGCACTGTACCCATTTCACATGAGAAGAAACAGACTCAGAAGTTTCTCACAGTCTGCATTTTAACCTAGCCTTTGTCTTGAGTGACAGGTTGGTACATGGGGATCATTCTGAGCGCTTCTGGGTCCTCACAGCAATCCTGACCTCTGTTCCCTGTCCACAGTGACTCTACTGGCCCCGGGCATGGCGGACCCAGTGGCAGGCATCGCTGGCTCTGCGGCCAAGAGTGTACGGCCCTTCAGCTCCAGTGAGGCCTATGTGGAAGCCATGAAGGAAGACCTGGCCGATTGGCTCAATGCCTTGTATGGTTTGGGTCTGCCAGGCAGTGGCGATGGCTTCCTCACTGGGCTGGCCACAGGCACAACCCTGTGCCAACATGCCAACGCTGTCACCGAAGCTGCCCAGGCTCTGGCTGCTGCTCGCCCAACCCGAGGTGTGGCCTTCCAGGCACACAGTGTGGCGCCTGGCTCCTTCATGGCTCGAGACAACGTGGCCACTTTCATCGCCTGGTGCCGGGCAGAGCTGGGTGTTCCTGAGGTGCTCATGTTTGAGACCGAGGACCTCGTGCTCCGAAAGAATGAGAAGAGTGTGGTGCTGTGCCTATTGGAGGTGGCTCGGCAGGGGGCCCGTCTGGGCCTATTGGCCCCCAAGCTGGTCCAGTTTGAGCAGGAGATCGAGCGTGAGCTTAGGGCTGCACCTGAGGTGGCCAGCATCCCAGCTGCTGAAGAGGTCACCGAGACTGCCACTGTACCAGGGGCTCCCACTCGTACTCCCCGCATGACACCCCATGACCTTCGAAACCTTGATGAGTTGGTGAGTCCTCATGTACACACATTGGGTGGCCCCTGCCTACTTTCCCACCTGGAGACCAGATGGCAAAGCTCATCCCTACCCCAACCCTGAGCCTCCTGGGGCCACCCTCTAACTGCAGGCCAGCCTCCCTGGGAGAAAGTGTATATACCTCTGGCCCAGAGAGCTCCGGAGAGGTGCTAAGTGAGGTCACACAGTCCAGCTGGGTGTAACACAGCTAGAACCCCAGCTTCTGACATGATCTCTCATTCTTTGAGGTGTTAAATGAGCATCTGGGGGCCTATAACTTAGGCACCTTCCTAGAAGCACAGAGGTGCTAGTCAGATACATTGGCACCTTAGACCTGGGGCTGAGTGGTTGCTGCCCTCTGCTAAAACTAGACGTAGAAAAGCCCTAGCAGGATGTCTGGAGCACCCCCAGGAGCAATCTGGTTCCCTGCTGCCAAGCTTACCCCCATTGTCCTGGGAACAAGAAGTGCTATTGGGACCTGCAGGAGGAGTTGGAACACAGGAGCAGGCCGCCTCCTCCCTCCTTTCCCAGGACTTAGGTGTCCCTGCCACCCCTGCAGCTAGCTAGATTAAGAGTTTCTTTCTTATCAGGAGTTTAGGACTATGGTGTACCTGCCCTGGAGTCTTGCAAGGCCACATGGTTGTGGGCAGAGTGGGTGCCCCACCCCCAGCCTGGGCCTGGGTCACCAAGGCCCCACCTGCTCATTTCCTCTGGCGCCACCGGGTTGGGCAAGGAGACGGGTAGGGCCTCCCACATAGCCAGCCTGGCATCTCCTGCTTCCAGAGATGTGTGTAGTTGCCAGGCAGGTGGTCTGTGTGCTTGTTGCTGTGTGTGTCCCACATGGTACCCTCTCATGGGGACTGCTCAGTTGGGGGCACAACCCCCTGCCCTCAGATCCCTGAGCCTGTCTGGTGGGGGCTGTCGACCTCAGCCCCTCATCTGTCATACTAGTGACCCAGGATGCAGATGGCTCCAGGGTTCTCATGGGCTCAAGGCCTTCTAGGATATTTCCTACTGAGGGCCAGACCCTAGCATGATCACAGCCCTGTCCTCTCATCCTGATCTGCTTCCTGAACCCTAGGGAGAGCCCATATAGAGAACTGGCAAAAGGTCATGTGAGGGAGCAAGCAACAGTGTCCTCCCGTCCGCCCGCCCCCCCCACGCCAAGGACTTACTTCCTCCTGCTTTTCAGCTGCTGACATTAAGCCTCTGGAGGAGGGACTTGACCCCTGACTCTCAGCTTCTCTTCTCTGGCTACAGGTGAGGGAGATCCTGGGCCGCTGCACCTGCCCAGACCAGTTCCCCATGATCAAGGTCTCTGAGGGAAAATACCGAGTAGGAGACTCCAGCCTGCTCATCTTTGTGCGGGTAAGTGGGGTGAGGAGGCCCAGCCCAAGGTGGCCAAAGGTGGGCTGGGAAGTGGCCCACAATGACGTGCCTTTTGGCCCGCAGGTGCTGAGGAGCCACGTGATGGTGCGGGTGGGCGGCGGCTGGGATACACTGGAGCACTACCTGGACAAACACGACCCTTGCCGCTGCTCGTCCACTGGTCAGTGCACGAGTCGATATATGGGTCACAGACAGGGGCTGGTGTCTGAGGCCATGTCGTTCACTTATGGCGTCCCTCCCCACAGCCCACCGTCTGCCGCAGTCAAGGACCGGCACCTTCTCCCCACAGAGGGGGTCGCCCACCCCCAGCCCCCGCCCCGGTAGCCCAGTCCCCGGGAGTGAGCGCAGGGGCTCCCGGCCCGATATGACTCCCATTAGCCTACGAAGCACAAAGGAGGGGCCTGAGACCCTGCTCAGGTGAGACACTGGAGGACAGATGGGGCCTGAGTGGATGAGCCGCTGGGGGAGGGGGGAGGCGTCGGCCCAGGCCCGGAATGATGGAGTTGCTGGCACTCCGGATTGACTCACACTCTGGGAAAAGTTCCCGTGGGTGGGGGCCGGCCGGGCTTCCCATCTCCATGGCAACCCAGCCAAACCAACAACAACTAGGGCGGGCCCTGGCGGCCACTCCAAACCCAGCTTCCTTCTGGTTTGACCTGGGGAAGAACGGAAGCCTGGGGAAGGGGGTGCGGCCCAGAGCACCTCTTCGCTGCTTTGGGGGCCCCGATTGGCCACTGGACGCTTCAGGGACTGTCTCAATTCTCACTGGAAGTACCCTGGGAGGACAGAGGCAATACCAGCTCCACCCAAAACTCATCGCCCCTCCATTTGGCCGCCCTTCCTCTCCCACCCTCTGCGCGCCAGTGATGCTCCATCTCTCTCTTGTTCCCCACCCCAGGCCCCGGGATCAGCTGCCCCCCCTCCCCCGCTCCCGCCGCTACTCCGGGGACAGTGACTCCTCAGCCTCCTCAGCCCAGAGTGGCCCCCTGGGTGCCCGCAGTGAAGACGCGGCCACTGGCCCCTGGAGGGAGCGCCCTAGCCGACGGCTGACCACTGGTCCCCCTGCCTCCCCAAGACGGCCACCTGCCCCTCGCAGCCATTCCCGAGACCGGCTGGACCGGGGGCGGCCTTGCGTGGTCCCGGGAAGCCATGGAGCCCAGGTATCCGCCCCCAACCTCCCCAGGCCCGCCCGCAGCCAAAGCCGCGAGGAGCAGGCCATGCTTCTCGTGCTCAGGGACCAAGACGGACAGCACTCCTGGGTGACCCGGGGCAGGGGTGGCCGAGGGTCCGGCAGGAACACCCCGCAGACTCCACGTGCCCGCAGCCCTGCAGCACCCAGGCCTCTCCTGGGCTCTAGCCCTAGCCCGGAGTTGACTGCCATACCCGCCAGTGTCTTCCGCACACCACTGCAACTTGACCCGCTACAGGAGCAACAGCTGTTCAGGCGCCTGGAGGAGGAGTTCTTAGCCAATGCCCGTGCCCTAGAGGCTGATGGCAGCCAGAACCCCATGGGACCAACCCCTGACCCAGCTCGGGCCCCAGACCCTCCAGCTCCTGACTCAGCATACTGTTCCTCCAGCTCCTCCTCTTCATCCCTCAGTGTCCTGGGTGGCAAGTGTGGCCCACCCGGGGACTCTGGCCGGACAGCCAATGGGCTGCCCTGCCCCCGAAGCCAAGCTCTGTCCAGCTCTTCCGATGAAGGCAGCCCCTGCATTGGTGTGGGAGGATCACTAGATGCAACAGAGAGCTCCCTGGCTGGCCCAGAACTCCCGCAGACCAGAGCGAGGGGGCGGATGGACACACAGCCAGATCGTAAACCCTCACGCATTCCCACACGACGGGAACCCCGCCGCCCATCTGGACCCACAGAGCTCAGAGCTTGGCAGGCACTGCAGTCGGTTGTCACCCCAAGGACCGAGCCAGATTCCGGAATGTGATGGACCAGCCCACCTGCTCCCACATACCATTCCTTCATTTTTCTTTGTGGCCTTAACCTACCCTCTGCATCAGGGAGCCCCCTTCCGACTCTCGAGTACCAGACCTCATGGGACCAGACCCCACAGGACAATATGGCACAATGAACCTCTGTTGTACATTCCGGTTGGGGGATGAGTGTTGCTATTTAATTACTAATATTATTGAATGCCTTAGGGGAGACTGGGCCAGCCCGGTGTCCTGAGGACCTGAGGTCCAGTAAGCAGAACCTCTTGACAGTAAAGTTTTTCTCCAGCCACCTGTCTTGGGAACTAAGCCTTCATTACAAGTTGGGATTCTGGGGGCTGGAGAGAGGGCTCAGCAGTTAAGAACACTGTTCTTGCAGAAGACCTGGGTTTGAATCCCAGCACCCACATGGCAGCTAACAGCTGTCGGTAACACATATACACATAAAGAAATAAAATATTTTAAAAAACAAGTTGGGATTCTGGGCCAGGGTGGTGGTGCATGCCTTTAATCCCAGCACTTGGGAGGCAGAGGCAGGCCTGGTCTGCATAGCGAGTTTCAGGCCAGGTGGGGCTACAGGGAGACCCTGTCTCAAAAAGACCCCTCCTGGGGCTGGAGAGATGGCTCAGCGGTTAAGAACACTGACTGTCCCTGCAGAAGACCTGGTTTGAATCCCAGTACCCACATGGCAGCTAACAGCTGTCTAAAACTCCAGTTCCTGGGGATCTGGCAGCCTCTTCTGTCCTCCACTCGCATTGCTTGACATGGCTGCACTTACCTACATGTAGGCAATACATGTATACACATAAAAAGAAATTTAAACGCTGGGCATGATGGCACATGCCTTTAATCCCAGCACTTGGGAGGCAGAGGCAGGCAGATCTCTGAGTTCAAGGCCAACCTGGACTACAGAGCGAGTTCCAGGTCAGCGGGGGCTACAGGGAGACCCTGTCTCAAAAGGGCCAAAACATAAATTTGAACTCACAGAGATCCGCCTGCCTCTGCCTCCCAAGTGCTGGGACTACAGGCCCACGCCACCACGGCCGGCGAATAAATAAATTTTTTAAAAAGAGCCCCCCCCCAAAAAAAATTGGGATTCTGGAGTTAACTGCCAGGGGGCCAAGCCTGAGGGCTCTGACCTGCCTATGCAGAAGAAGCCCTAGGTTCACTTGAATTGTTTTTTATTACCTCATGAGGCATGATTTTAAAAGTCTCCTCCAGTGAAGCATCAGGAGCAATCTGGGTGTTTCCAATCAGATTCATATTCAAGTCCTTTCCATCCAATGAGATTGTGACCCAGTAAAGTCCCAGAAAGGACTGATCTCGTCCAATAAGATTAGTGGTTGGCTGGGTCCAGTGAAGTTCAAAGAGCAGCCTGCCACCCTTCAAGATTGGGCGGGTGCTTTACGGGTCCAATCCGAATGAGGTTGGCCAATCTCGTCCAATTCAGTCACATGAGGCTGCAGCGCGCTGGATGCAGCGCCCCCTGCAGGCGCAGAGCCGGATGTGCAGGACGTGCACGCACCAGAGCACAACGGAGAAGCTCCCGGAACAGACGCAGCACGTGCCAGTTGTATTTGGCAGAACACTCAAGGTAGCCGCAGCGCCAGCCCCTGCGCACTAGAGTGGCCAGCGCACGCCGAGGTCCGAAGCGCAGCCGCTGACGGTCCCGCTTGTTGCCTACCACCAGGATGGGTGCCTCTGGTGCACCTGCCGGCCTAGAGGCCGGAAGGGTATGAGACGTGGTGCTGGGGACTCCATGGCTGGGGGAACCTTCCCCTCTTCCATGAGTGTACGAAGGAGGCACATCCCCTCTTCGGCCAGAGACCCTCCCAACAAACACCAGGCCTGTGAGTGCTAAAGACTTTGTACAGCTTGGAGACCTTCCCATGGGCGGGAGCACGATCCAGAAGGACCCAGACCGGAATCTAACTTGCTCCCTAGGGCAGAGGACCCCCTGGCTAAACCTGCACCTCCCGCCAGGCCCTCACCTGTTGTCTGCGATGCGCTGCCGCAGGACTTTCACGTAATCGAAACTGTCAAGGCTGCAGATGTCGTAGACAAGTACAAAGGCGTCTGTGTCCTGCAAGCTCCAATCTTTAGGGTCCGGGCACTCCTGGAGGTAGAGGCTGAGGTTTGCAGCAGGCCTTCCCACTCTCCTACTCCCTCCAAAGCCCTCTGTAGAGGTTTGACATTAACTCCGCTGTTCACCCTCAGGCCCCATCCCCTCCCAAATCTACCCACTCTCCCTCAAGTCAAATTTTCCAGTCCTACCTGGAACCTATCAGTCCCTAGCTTCTCTGTCCTTCCCGCACCGCACCGGCAACTTCCTCTTCCTTAAGTTTTCCCCAGCTCAGCTCCACTCAAAGCACCCTTCTCTCTAGCCACCCTACTATTGCCTCTGCAGTTGCCAAGTGCTGGCCCCAGAAACCACCTGTCACCTGCGGACAAACAGTGACTGTGATTGTCCAAGTTCAGCTCGGCAATTTAAGCCCCTGGCCTAAGCATCTGCTCTCATCTTTTGGAATGTTCTTACCGGTCTTTTACCCAAAGCTTCACTTAGCCTTCCCCAGGTTCAGCTCAAACACTACCCCCTCTAGGAAGCCCTCAGGCATACAGTGCCAAAGACTGGAGGTATGCCCTGGACTTTGCACAAACACTTTGCAGAAGTCTTTGCTCCAGGGCACTATGAAGAAGTAGTGATCCCCCTGTGCCTGACCCAGTATTCCCCACTGAGTCCCTGTTCAAGCCACCGAAACAGTATAGCATCCTCAGGGGCTGCACCTGCCATCCTGTGCCAAGGGCACACACAGACCCACTAGTCTAGGCAGGCAAAGTCACAAGCACCCAAGGAAACAAGAAAAAGCCACTGGGCAAACTCGGCCAGTTTAGGCCAGGGAAGGCTTACAGGCAGTATACTGGGACAGATATTCTTCCTTTGATCCCTGAACTTGCTGGGAAGCTCTTAAGCAATCCATGTGGACACGCACGTGGGCACCAAACACACACACACACCCGTCTCCCACTGTCACGCACCCTCGACCACCCCTCGAACCCACTACCTCCAAACCTCTGGGGCTCGAACCAGGGTCAGCGACATCGCCATCGCGGATACTCAAGTCGTAGACGGCGCCATCGAGCAGCACAGCGGGCCGGTAGAGGCGGGGACCGTCCGTGGGTCGGTGGCGCTCCGGATAGTCACCAAACAAGAACTGGCGGATGATGGCCGTCTTGCCCACTCCCGGAGCACCCAGAACAGCCACTCGCAGGCTGCCCCCCATGGCCGGCCCGCGTTCCCGCGTCCGGGGTCGGGAAGCCTCATGGGCCGGCCCCGCGCCGTGCGCACCCGACCGTGAGCCCCTCGCGCCCTGCCTGGGACACCCCTGTTGCGCCGCGCTCCTCGCTGCGCTCCGCAGCACCTGCGCGGGGAGAGGCCAGGCCCGAGAACCGAGGAGGCGACAGGAAGGCAGGCAGCCAGCCGAGCGAGCAAACGGTGGCGGCTGCACTCGCAATTCCGGAGGGCACGGAAGCTCGGGAGAAAGTGGACCCGGCGCGCCGCGCGCAGAGCCGCCACCGCCCGCAGCCGGAGCCAGACGCCGCCCGCCGCGCGGGGCCCGAGGTCAGACCTCGTCGCGGTGCAGGTCCCGCAGCGGCGCCGCGTCTCGGCTTCTGGGTCCTTCGTCCTCTTCTCGCACCGGTGCCGGGAGTAGCCGCCCCTCCGGCGGCGCAGGGCCTCCTGGAGGCGGCGATGAGGTAACCGCTGGCCCGCCTCCCAGCCCTCCAGGACGCCCCCTCCACCCCGGGGAGGGTCGCGGCAAAGTGACTGCCAGAATGGCGGGCAGCCGGGCTAGGGCCTCACACCCCACCCCCTTGGTTCAGCGCTCCCCTCACCTGCTCCAAAATAGAAGCCCCTTGGCGCCACCTCCGCGCCTCTCCTCCAGCACCGCTGGCTGCAAAGCTGGCGGCTGACCAACCCCAGGCCCTTGGAGTAAGGCTACCTGGGGTCAGATCCGGTCCCCCGCTGAGTGACCTTGGGAGAATCTCCGCACTGCGCTTGGGTCTCTGTCCCACATCCACCAAAGGCCAAAGCCTCCCAAGCACTTCTGGTTTGTGGGACCCTACTAAGTGTGTCAGGTCCTTTTCTGAGCGTCATCTTTGAACCTGCAGCCTCAACCTCGTATCTCCATCTAGGGAGGAGGAAACTGAGTCTGGAGAGAGATGTCTCGAAGAGACATCTGCGTCACCTCTGAGGCCCCTGCCACCTTGCTCACACCCACAGTTACCCCTGTGGTGTAGGTCAGAAGTAGAATATTTCAAAGGACTATCCTGTTGGGGACAGATGGACTGAGCCCAGCACACAGTCACAGCAACTTAGCCCCAACAAGTTGGAGGTGAATAAACAGAAAGATTCAAAAATGGCCGACAGCACCTGTTTCCCATAGAGCCCCTCAGAGGGATGCAACGTGCCAACCGGACTCCGGGGGCCCAAGGGCCCAGATCCTCCTCCCAAGGCCAAGTGGGGAAGTCTGGGTTTGCCCAGGACCCATTCTCTGGCGCTGCCCTCTCCACACAGAGGGACTCCCACACCTCTGCCCTCCACTAGGTGCTGTAAAATTCAGACATCTCTGTTTCAGCACTAACCAAGGTTTAGTTATCTATTCAACAAATACTTCAAATCTTACTATTTGCCAGCAGCATGCTGAGATAAATTTTTTAAATAAAAAAAATGTCCTACCTTAGGAAGGTTCTAGAACTCCTGAGATGTAGGGCTCTGAGAGCACTGACAATGTACCCACCCAACCTGGGGCAAGTGGAAGAATGAGCAGGGAAAATTAACCTGTGAATCGGGAGGAGAGCACATCCTCCAGGGAGCAGGTGACCAGGGCCAGAGGGTGTTTATTCCACACTGGCTGTGTCTTCATCCTTCCACAGTGGACCTAGGGTCTGGTCTGATTTCATTCCTCTATTTAGCCACTAGGGAGCTCACAACTACCTAGGTCTTTAAATTCAGAGACAGGAGACACCTGGGTTTCTTTCTTGCTTCCTGGCAGTGATTTCCCCTCTTCCATTTTAAGTTTTCAGGTTTCTGGGGTTTGTGAGCTGCTTCTTTTCCTTTGGGAAACAAGACGAAAAGCAAACAGACTCAGCCATATTCCCTCTTGTCACATAGCAGGCCCTGGGGGCAGACACCAAGCTGGTCTTCAGTTGCAGCTGAGATGGTCAGACCCAGTTCTAGGGTTCTCCAAAACTTCCTGCACTCCCACCCCCAGAGTGTCCTTCATAGGGCTTCTCTGAGAGCTGCAAGCATGGTTGTGGTTGTGGCACCTCTAGACCACAGGGGAACTTCTTAGCCTGTTTGTCTTTTTGTCTGTCTCACTTCACATCCCTGTCTGGCCTCAAAATTGTGATCTTCCTGCTTCAGCCTCGTAAGTACTGGGATTACAGAGAGTGGCACAAGATGCTGGGATTGCAGAATGATACCAGATGCTGGGATTACAAGTGTGTGACACCATACCCAGCTTGTGCATGCTCTTAGATCAAAGGCCCATGTGGCATGGTCAAGCCCTGTCCTGCACTCAGGCACCAGCCCATCCAGGCTCAGAGAGATGTAGTAATTTGGCCTGCATGTCCAGCAGGAAAAGGGACTAGAACCCAGGCTCTCTTGGGCTCCTGAGCCTGACTTTCTAAGAGGCTCTGCCTCATCTGCGCCCAGAGGCCACAGGTGTGTCCAAAGGTAGATTGCTGTAGCCTGGAGCCTTGTGGGGAGGGACTTTGGGGAGTGTCCTGTCACCTGTGGGGGTTGAGCTGAACTGTGATGGAGTGGGTGGTCCTATCCCAGACTTCCCAAAGATGAGGCAGCTGGATGTTTATGCTAACTGGGATATGGATTTAGGGTTGCTTTCATTGCCCCCTACTTCCCCAAAGAAAGGCTGCATGGTACACCACTCCAATCTCTGGGGTCCTTCCCAGACCTCTCCCATGTTCCCACCTAGTGTTTTGGAGACCACTCACTAAACATACATGTATCTACTCCCATGTTGCAGGGAAACCTGACTTTGATCACACAGTGGCCAAGCTGGCCTCTCCTGCCTACTTGACTTTTGAGGGAAACAGACATAGAGAGACAGGCAAAGAGAGACAGGCAAAAAGATCAAGGCAGGATTCCTGGGCTGCTTCAGGCTTGAAGAGAAGGAGGGTAGAGGATTGGAGGGAGGCACTAGCAGGCTGAGAGTGAGGGCATTGTGAAGGGTCTAGTGTCACACTGGTACGTCACCTAAACTGAGCCCGAGCCCCAAGGAATAAAGCCCAGATAGTGGAGTTCATTGGGAGGCAGCTGAGCAGGCTGGGCAGGGCCAGGCCAGGCACCAGTAGAGAATTCTGCCCTCATCTCCCAAGCACTTAATGGGGTGTCCTCCACACCACTGACCTGGACCCATATGGCTTCTACATTGTTGGCCTGGTTCTGGTCCTTCCCCAGGGTTTAGTACTCTGGTCAGCATCAGCTCCCAGAGGTCTTTGCCTGAGCTCCTCGGGGCCACATCACTGACCATGAATTATAGTGTGTTCTGCCTTTAATCATGTGCCATACCACTTGCCCCAGCAGTCACTCACCTCCTTGAGCCCTAAATGGGGATCCCCTACTGCTTTGATGCTTGGCACTATGCTGTCACCATCATGATGGTGGCTGGTCACCCTCCTGAAGGACAAATGGGATCTCACAGCTGTCAGGGCACAAGGAGGCAGCACAGGCGCTGAAGTGAGGCCTCATGGATTAGAAATTTTCCTCCCAGGGTTGCATCATCTGTGCAAGTTTCTCAAACTCACAGAGCCTCAGTTCCCTTCTCTGTAAAAGGGATGCTAACCAGGCTGGTAGTGGTAGTGTGCACCTGTAACCCCAGAACTCAAAAGGCCACAGAGCAAGACCTTGTCACAAACATGTAAAAAAAAAAAATCAATTAATGGTCTGGACCATTTGTGTCCTTTTGTGGGACACAAAAAGGAAAACAATGAGGTTGTAAAGACAAAATCTGTACCATAGAAAATAATTCCATTTCTGTATTTAAATAGTCAACAGTTGTAAGACATGATGGTGGGATGTGTGTCTACATGGTATGTAGGCACATGTGTTTTTTAGCTCTGTCAGCTTTGAGGACCAAAATGACACCCTAAATAGTAACAAGTACATTCAGACCTGGATCTTGTTTAGGATTCCATCTTCAATGACAGGAACCAGGCTCCTTGAGAAATGGCCAACTGTGAGGTTGGGACAGGACAAGCACAGCCTGGAGTGACCTGGACTGCCAGGAAGATAGGAAGTGGCAAGCAAATAAATAAGCACCAGGATAGCATGTCAGAGGGACAGAGACCACAGGAAAGAGCTCCCAGTGGCTGAAGCTGGAACAGCTTGAGAAATGCTCTAAGTAATGTAGTATTGACTGTAGTCGACCTGTGACCCCAACATGTGGGGAGGCTGAGGCAGGAGGGTCATGGGTCTGAGTACAGTCTGGGCTACATAGCAAGACCCTGTCTCAAAAATAACAAAACAGGCTGGGTGTGGTAGCACATGCCTTTAATCCCAGCACTCAGGAGGCAGAGGCAGGCGGATCTCTGTTAGTTCAAGGCCAGCCTGGTCTATATAGTGAGTTCCAGGACAGCTGGGACTACAGGGAGACCCTGTCTCAAAAAGACCGGAAAAAAAAAAAAAAAAAAACCAAACAGATCTAAAGAGATGGCTCAATGGTTAAGAGCATTGATTGTCCTTGCATGGAAGCTAGTAACAACTCTCTGTAATTCTATTCAATGCCCTCTTCTGGCCTCCATGCGCACTGTGGTACACTTATATATATGCAGGCAAACACTCATACACATAAAATAAAAATAAATTTAAAAAATTAAAAACTGGGGCTGGAGAGAACACTGGCTGTTCTTGCAGAAGACCTGGGTTTGAATCCCAGCACCCACATGGCAGCTAACAACTGTCCGTAACTCCAGTTCCAGTGGAACCCACAGCCTCTTCTGTCCTCTGAGGGCATTGCATGGCACGGGTGCACTTACCTACATGCAGGCAATACACGCATACACATAAAAATACAAAAAGTATTTTTTAAAAAATTAAAAACCAGAGCTGGAGAGATGGCTCAGCAGTTAAGAACACTGGTTGTTCTTGCAGAAGACCTGAGTTCGAATCCCAGCACCCACATGGCAGCTAATAACTTTGTAACTCCAGTTCCAGGGGATCCGATGGCCTCTTCTGTCTTCCGAGGGCATTGCACGACACGGGTGCACTTGCCTACATGCAGGCAATACACTCATACACATAAAAATAATAAGTAAAAAAAATTTTTTAAAGATTTTTAAAAAAATTAAAAACCAACAAAATATAAAATGGAGAGTGATTGAAAAAGACACATCTGGCCTTCACATGCACACACATGCACACCCCCTCTAAATGAACATGTACACATACACACACAAAATATATTGATTGATTGATTGATTGATTGTCTTTTTGAAGCAGAGTCTCCCTGTAGCCCCAGCTGTCCTGGAACTCACCATGTAGACCAGGCTGGCCTTGAACTCATAGAGATCCACCTGCCTCTGCCTCCCAAGTGCTGGGACTACAGGTGTGCGCCACCACACCCGGCCACACATAAAATATATTACAAACCAAACAACACAAACAAAAAATGATCCTAAAGTCCAAACTGATAGAAAAAAAAACTGAATATATAAATGACTGTGGAAGAAGAAACAAATCTTTCAGAAGAATTCCAAAGACTATGTAGCTCCTCCCTCTTTCCCCTTTTCTCCCCAGAGTGTAGCTTCCTTAGAGACTTATTTCCAGAGAAAAGAGGCCAGAGACCAGAACAGGAAAATGTAACTTCACTGGCTGGGATTATGGCTCAGGGGCAGAGCACCTACCCAGCATGAGCGAGGTCCTGGCTCCATCCCTATCTCTTGAAGGAGAAAGGAGAAAGAAAAAATCAGAAGAAAGTCCAGGCATGGTAACTCACATTTGTAATCCTATCACTCAGAAGACTGAGGGAGGAGGATT